CCACTGTAACCCTTTCTCATTCTCTAGCTGTAACCACTGCTAAACACTTGCCATGTAGTGTTCCAGATCATTCACTATATCCACACAGATACATGTATTTTGTTAATAAAAAGTCAATTTTGCTACTTACGATATTTTTATACTAAGAAGTATTACTAAAATATTCTTCCAAATGAATTTAATTTCATATACTTTAATATTTTTATTTCCTTCAAAGTATTCTAGAATATAGATGTATTTTAAGTTGTTTTACCAAATAACTCTTAGGTTGCCTTCAACATTTTAATATTACAAATAATGCTGCAATGAGGGAAATTGCACATAATATCTTTGCACACATCAAAAAGTCTTTCTGAGGAATAAATGTCTGAAAATTTCATTACTGAGGTAACAATTTTGCTTCTTAAATGTTTTGATAGATTCAGGTGAATTACTCTCCAAAACATTTGTATAGATTTGTAATTCATCAAGTTTTTTAAACTGAGCTCTAATTTTCTTGTGCAAAATGGGGATAAATTACCTTTTTTCCTCAAGATTAATATGAGGATTAGATAAGGCAATGCATGTAAATCACCTAGCACCGTGTCTGACCGAAAGTGGGTGTCTGATAAATCCTTATTCCCATCTGTTTGCTTTCCAACTACCCTACTTTATACAAAGCAACAACATGCAATTGTTAGACAGGTCTGATTTTTCCTCTCAGTTTTTCCACTTAGATTAAATGCACTGTTCTCAGCACTCTGATATTTAGACTTATATCAGTGCTGAATTTCTTGTCTCAGAGTTTGTTCTGGTCACCACTGTTACATATTGGCCATTGTCCTTCTGTGACACAGTACCCATCATAATCAGAATCTCAATTTTCTTTTTTTTGGGTGGGGGGGGTGGAGTCTTGCTCTGTTGCCCAGGCTGGAGTGCAGTGGTACGATCTTGGCTCACTGCAACCTCCACCTCCCAGGTTCAAGTGATTCTCCTGCCGCAGCCTGCTAAGTAGCTGGGATTACAGGTACATGCTGCCACTCCTGGCTAATTTTTGTATTTTTAGTAGAGAGGGGGTTTCAGCACCCTGGTCAGGCTGGTCTTGAACTCCTGAACTCATGATCCTCCCACCTTGGCCTCCCAAAGTGCTGGGATTGCAAATGTGAGCCACAGCACCTGGCCGGAATCTCAGTGTTTGAAAAGAACTTTGCAGATGTCTTCTCAGCCTCCCTGTGGCTCTCCATTTCCATGTTCTGGGAATCTCAAGACATGGATTTATATTTTAAATGATTCGACATTAAAGTGTCCCCATCGACTCCGTCTCACAAATCGTCATAAAGGTGGCTCTGAGAGAATGCAGATCCTGAATCCTGATGCCCCTCATCACATGCCCAGGCTGTTGGCTCCTTTGCTGTAGGAATCTGGGGGCCGCTCTGGTGTTCCCCCACACAGCGTCGGAAGCTGGATTTAATCATCTTTACCTTCAAAATAAAGAATCCACTTGCACCAAAGCATTACTGAAGAGTGTACAGTTTATTGACAATTGGAGGAAAAAGAGAGGGTTTGTAGAGCCCAGCATTCCCCTCCTGGTTTATTTTCTCAGCCTGGCAGCTCTTCAGTCTTCCCTAGCTTCTTACCTACCTTTTCACTGCTCCCAAGTAGATACGATGGTTCCTGCTTCCCGTCCCAGAATCTGCTCTCGGGGGCTTCTTGGTCTCTTCCCTTAGTCGTGCAGTCTTGGCCCAGCCGTGCCACACCCAGGGGTCACACCTGTCAGCCCTCAGGTAACGACAGATCCTCTACTTTCCAGGCCCTGCTTCTCAGCAGTCAGTGAGTGATCGTGGTACCCGGAACATACTGTCCTCATATCACAGTGAGATCAGCTGTGGTAGAGCCAAGCAGTGTATCGGACAGAAAGGCCACTTTATTAATGAAGTTAACACAGCTAATTGTGGAAAGGGAGGCTTTCCGGGCCTGTAAATACAGCGTTGCTTCATGTACAATGTTACTAGAAACCGTATTTGTACATGAGCTGTCACTAATTGTAAGTGCAGTCAGTCTTGGTGATCATATTTTAGATTTGATTTTATGTAAACCAAGGTGGGTAACTGTGTTTTAAGAAACCACAATTAAAATTGTGTAATGAGAAAGTTCTAGAAAATGGCTCAGATTACTGTCATTCCCTGTGCGAACCTTGCCAGCATGCCTTGGCTGGTCTGGTGAGGTCTCGTGTTTCCTTCTGTTTGTCTCATTTTGTCACTCTTCCTTCACTTTGCACACACTGTAGTTGCTGCATCCCAGATGACAGCTAAAGGCTGCTGCATTTCTTTCCCTTCTGAGTTTTGGAATAAAGTATGTTTTGAATCTCCTGATACAGGGAATTTTGCAAAAGGTAAAAAATTGTAAAGTGAGCATTTCCAACTCTGCTAACATTGGAATCTAATGCAGCAACATTACAGAATGATGGGATTTTAGAGTTGGAAGGACCATACAAATCACCTAATCGGATCCTCCCCTATGTTCAGCCACGAGGAGATTTAGGCCTGAAAAGGTCAGCCTTTTGCTGAGAGTCACGGAGCCATTTAGTTTCAGAACCAAGAACAGAACTCGGCCACCCGAACCCTAGTTTAATCGCTCAGCTGCATCCAGCTTTCACATAGAAGCAAGTAAACAAAGTGGCCTATTTCTCAGCAGCATTTTGTTTTTACTGAGAGCGCAGGGGATCATGTGCCACTTACAGTCATCTCTAAAAATTGTATAATAATCCTCCCATTATCCTGTTAAACTATTGCTGCAGCTCTGTGCTTAATTGATTGAAATCTATTATTCATAATGCCATCTCGTTCCTGTTCAAATAACATTATCCTTATGACTAAAATTTTACGGAGACATGCTTGATTTCTTATCAGAGTGAGATGACACATCAATAGAGCAGAGTTTTCATTTGTGAATGCAATTCAGTAGATATTTTCCAAGCACCTATTCTGAGTGTGGCTTTCTCTTTGGTACTTTTTTGGATGTAGAGGCAACATGGGGCCTGACTTTTACCTCAGATAACTGATGTTCCGCTGTGTGCTTCTGAGTGTCCAGAAGCCTCTGAAGCAGAACACAGCCTGTGCCTGAGGAGACGGCGCGGCAGGCCGGCTCAGCGCCTGGGTCTGCACCTGCTTCTGTGGCTTAGTAGCTGTGTTATCTCGGGCAAGCAACTGCAGTCAAGCCTTAGTGTGCACACCTGGGGACAGAAATGCACTAACTTCATATAGTTATTTCAAACATCCTGATAAAAGACGAGTCAGAAATCATTTAGCACATCCCTGACACACAGTGCTCAAAAACGTTAGCTAATGTTTAAAATCTTTATCACCTTGTGTCAGTGAATCTCCATTTTCAAAGCACAGTGTACAGTGAAGCCAGTTACCTTGCCAGATTTAAGAGAAGACAGCGTTGGCTTTGGGTAGATTTCACTGATTGATTGACTACTGTTTGATTGATTTAGTTGCGCTTGTGTGGCTCGGTGGAGCACATTTGCCCGTACGGCAATCCCAAGTGTTGAAGAAAAATTCTTAGGATAAAGTTGGGAATAACAATCTCTTCAGTGGGGTATCTTTCATTTAATTTTGCATTATTTGTTTTCATGAGAAATACCCTCCAGAGAGAAGTCTCCCTCCCTTTGATTGTCAGCTTTTATTAGTCACCTCAGAGTCTCAGACAAAGGCCTCCGGATTGTATGTCAGTTACTTGGGTTCTCACCCTGTCTTATCTCTAACTCACTCTGTTGTTGCTAATAGATCAGCCTCTCAGAGGAAACGTTTGAGTCAAATGGTACAAAGTATCTTGGAAACACATGAAGTATGCTGTTTGGTGATCTAAAGCAATCAAATGAACTGACTAATTACTTGCCACATTTTTTTTCTTGTGGTTCTTAATTTACATATATGTAAAATAATTTTTATATATTAGTAATTTAAATATATTCATTTTCCCTGTTTAATAAAAAATATGTATAATAGATAATAAATATATTGCTTATATATGAAAGAATATATACATATTATATATTGTTTTAATCTATATTATATATATTCTTAGTATGCATATAATTTTTTTAAGCAGGGAAAACTGTGGGCAAGGAAAATGACCTTATGCATCTGTATAGTCTGAAAAAGTAAATTATGCCTAATTTAAAATGAAATGTTTCTTAAACAATTTTGCAGTCAGGCTATTAATAATCATCTTTGCAAAGCAGACAATGTACACCAGAGCATATTGAAATATTACGGATTCATGAATTGCTGTCAGTTTGAATTTGTATATATTTTCTCATCACCAGAAATGCTGTGACCTAGCATGCAGAGGGAAAAAGGGTGCTGGAAAATAAGAGTGTTGTTAAATGTTTTTGTTAGACAATTTATATGTGCGAAAAATTAATTAGTGATATAAAGTACGTATTTGGATAATGAATACCGTGAAGACTAAACACTTGTTGCCTGAAACAATCAATTAAGATACTTTTTTCTAGAGTCCTCTAGATGCTTATATCCATTCTTCAACTCAGTTTGCATGTCTAGGCATAGGTTCTTTTAAAAAATTGTTCAAATATGAGAAAATTCTAACAGTAAAATAATTGAAAATTTGAAAGGCTGAGAAAAATCATGATTCCAATGTATTATATTAGAGTTGAAACCTGAGACTTGTGAATTAACATCACACAATCTTTTAAGATATGAGAAAATATATGCTAGAATTAAGAATAACTGTTACTCCAACTAAGAAAAGAAAAATCAAATTCCCTGTGAAAGAAAGCATCCCCCCAAGTCTTCATTTCATTCACTCCTGACTTTGTCGTCATTCAGACAGTTCCGAAGGCAGGAAACGTTGCATTTTCTGCAGTTTTCCATCATGCCATCATTTTGCAGCTATTGTAAATTGTAGCCTCTTCTCTCTTCGTGTATGACCAGTTCTTTTTATTAATTCGTGGGGTGAATGCAGAATAAACACAGCTCCTGGCGAGTGCTGCTGACCCACAGCGCGGCTGGCCTCCCCCCCACTCATGCTTTGTCGCTCTTTCTCTCAGTTCTTTCCCACCTGTCCCAGAGCTCATGAGGTGACCCAAGAGCTGCTGCATACTTGGATAGGATTAAGAAAAGAAGGACCACAGAAAGGTGCCTGGTGGTGTTTGTGCCAAGGGTACGGCAGCCCTTTCTGGCACACGGTGTAGGAAGAGAGCAGTCAGCCATGCAGGGTGAATAGAAGCCAGCCCAGTGCAACTCACTCAAGGCAGTGAGAAGCCCACTGAAGCACAGAGCTGAGTTTAGAATATTTACGCAATGCTCCTCTGTTTTACAGATAAGGAACCTGACATTGAGTGGTAAATGTATTTATAATTTAAAAAAACCCTGGAACTGTGCTCCATGAAATATTCTTTATAGTTTGTTTTTAACTATTTTAGAAATGTTAGTGATGGATGAAAAAAGTACAGACAGAGATGAGAGGGACTTAATTCTGAAAGAGGGATCTAGCTTATTCATCTTGGTTTACAGACATAAAAACCCCAGGCCCCGAGGGATACAGCGCCTGTCCTTGTGTTACAGCCCTGCAGCGGAGGCCACTGCTCTTGTTACTGCACACAGAGCTCCTTTTAATCACCTAGAACAAGTCCTGTCACAGCTTGCAGGGTCTATCCTGGTGATCTGTGGGCTTGCAAGTTTTCCTTTTGCCTTTCATTGGATTTCAAACAATGTATTGAGTATGGCAACTGAATTATTAGAGTCAGTTATCTGTGTATTCTATGGGCAATTTAAAATTGACTTGGGTTAAAATGGAAAACTTCACACTAGTCATAAGAAACCCTTCAGAGAGGTAGCAATTCAATCTGGTTCACATAATAACAGCAATAAAGAAGACATTGAACATTTTTTTTCTCTCTTTCTTGCGAAGAGCTAAAACCAATTTAAAGATTTTCTTATTAATCCTCCCAAAAGAACTACAGCTGTTTTGCTAACCAGGAGCCTCATGACAGAGGTCCTGAGGCCAAGTGTGAGTAGGAGCTGAAGGCACTGTGGGGCTCGGGAGCTTCATTGCAAGGTCTCCTGGTGTGGTTCACTTGCTGTTTGATGGTGGTCAAATAACAGAATCTCTCTGAAGCCTCATCTACCATAATTTAAATGGGAGGAGGTGGGTGAGATAATCTCCGAGATCCCTTCAAGGATGAATTCTCAGTGATTTCATAGAGATCTCGATGCACTGCTTAGAATTCCTTATTTTTTTTTATAACCTTTGCTTAAGGTCTTCAAAAGGCTCTATTAACATTAATGTTCCTGTAGCTGTTCCCCAATTATAAGTTTTCTTTTTTTCTTTTTCATAAAAGTAGCAAGAAACACAGGAATGCCTTTTCTGAGTAAAGGCACAGCCAACAAATAAGGATAGAGAGAATAAAGCAGTGACTGGACATCCCCTTGTTTACCCGTGCGGGAACCCCGGTACTATTTGGAATGCTTTAAATTTCTCTCATGGCCCAAACTTACTTTTGTGTCCTCAATGTAAGCATCTCACCTTCTACTTTCTCAGTCTGAAGCCATTCATCAGGAACCCTTTCAAAGTCTGTCTTTCTAAACCAGGCATCCCCAGACTTTTTACACAGGGGGCCAGTTCACTGTCCCTCAGACCATTGGAGGGGCGCCACATACTGTGCTCCTCTCACTGACCACCAATGAAAGAGATGCCCCTTCCTGATGTGCGGCGGGGGCCGGATAAATGGCCTCAGGGGGCCGCATGCGGCCCGCGGGCCATAGTTTGGAGACGGCTGTTCTAAACGTTTCTGCTCTTAGTTCACCCTTTCTTTACTCCCACCTCACTACGATATTACCCTCATCTCCATGGAAAAAGAAAGCCTTTGTCACCCCCAAATAACCAACAGGGGTGGTCTTAATCTAATGTCCCTTCTTCTAAGTCAGTGATTCTCGTAACTAGACACAGATCTGAATCACCTGGGAAGACTAGTAAATAATTCAGGTGTCTATGCTATCCAAAACAATTTAATCAGAATCAGGACCAGGCATTAGTATTATAACAAGGGTCCTGGGTGAGTTTTATGTTAAGAAGGGGTTGCTAACCAGTGCTCTGGAGGTCTTGATTGATTGATTAATCCTTGTTTATTCTTCAGCTTTAATCCATTTTACTGGCTCCTTCCCTCCAACCTGCAGATGTATTTAGCCTTCTCTTACCTAATAAAACCCCTTCCTCTGTCCCTCAAGCTGTGATTCTGGGCATCCTCTTCCCTCCCACTTTCTCCTCTCAGTGGTTCTGCTCCTAGCAGCAGCTTTCTATGTGGCCACCACGTGGCACATGCCACCCTCACTCTTCACGCCACTCAGGCTCTCTTCAGGGCCTGACACGCCCCTTCACCCTTGCTCTATAGAATTTGCTCTTCCTTTGGCCCCTGTGATTCCACAAAGTTTCCTATAAAACTGTGCATCTGTGAGTCCCCAGAGCATAGATGCTTCTTCCTGTTCTCTACTAGCTGCCATTGAATTGTCGATTTATTCTCTCTTCTAAAATGATTGCTTAAGTTTAAATGATCACATCCATGAAAATGGCTCTGGAATCTGCATCTATTCCCTGGAGTTATATGTCCCCAGGATGTGTCCTCATCTGGATGTTCATCCTCCACCTAAACTCAACCGGTCCCAAACTGAGTTGATCATCTTCTACTGATTTTAGCCCTTCTCTGTGAAGCTTCCTGATGACCTTCAGTCAGCACTGTCCTTCCAGTTTTCTGGGCTTCTGAATTCTGGTTATCTTTCACTCTTCTTTTTCCTATTTAATCTCCATATCCTGTGCATTCCACGTTGTGTCTGTTTTGCCTTTGCAATTTTGAGGTGTCTATTCCCTTCTTATTTCAAATTCTTATTCAAGCCCTTTCTAAGACACAGACCAAATATGCAGCCTTCCATGACGGCATCCCCAGTTCCTGGTCAAAATGAGCTTTCTCCTCTTTGGTGATCCCAGAGTGCTTTGTGAGTCTAGTGTGACGGTGAACACATTCTGCTTTCTGGTCTAGCACCTGTGTACTGTCTCCACCGTGTAGGTTAGGCCCTCAGTGTCAGAGGTGGTATTTTTTCTTGGATATAGTTAGTACTGAGGACCAGGGACTTACAGTCTATCTGAGTAAACAAAAATATCTCTGCATTCTCCCTCCCCCGGGCCTCCCCCCAGCACACTGCAATACAGTGGAAATGGCTGTTCATCATAAAGTGAATAGTGACAACAGGGCTTTGTGCATGTAGCCCCTGCTTCTGTAACAACAGCTAGTTTTGATTTCTCACCTATCATATGAGCACACATCTTATAGACGCCATTTCATCAACCTTCCCCAAAGACCTGCAGCATAAACATGACAAGCATCCACTTTACAGATGTGGAAACTGATGCTCAAAACATGAAGTGACTTGGCCAAGATGACATGGCCAGTAACAGGAGGACAGGGGCCGGATCCCAGGTGTGAAAGTGCATGCTCTTAGCTTCATGTGATTTCATTAGACTAAAGTGGGTGTCGTGTCATACAATGGGAGCTGATGGCACAGGGAAGAGAGTTCTTCGCTAGGGGAAGGTTTGTGGACAATGAAGAGTTATTTTATTGAGAGAGTGAAATGTTCTGTTCAGTCTTTCTTTTGACTCTCATTGTCCATGGACCTTCCCAGGTGCAGAGTCTGCCTGAGCAGCAGGTAGCAGGGGCCTTTCCATGTGTGAGGACACTCCTCCTGCGTGCCAGCTCCTCTGATCTGTCAGGCCACCATTTCTATCCCCTCTCTTTTCATCCTGAAGGAGTCGTATTTAAGTAATCTCAATTTAAGTGACCAGAACATTGGTCTTGGTCAGAGGCTCTTATCAGCTAACTGCTAAGGAAGGATTAGTTTGACAGCCTTGCGAAGTCCTCTTTAGACAAATTCTATCCATAATAAAGTCACTTGCAGAGAGCGGATACCCATGTCCCTACACAAGAGCCATATGCTTCTGAGAACCCAGACAGTGCTTTCTTCTGAGTGGTAATCAATACTAATTTGCAGGCAACTTGAGAGTAAGGGAGCATGTCTTCTAGTCTGTTTATTAAACTTAGTTTCTTACTAGGTTACTGACTTCTGAATGTCAATTATACTTATTTCAGAGAAATAATGCAAATTTGAGTTCTTTTCTTTTTTGAGAGGAAGGAAAAGCATAAGGGCTTTTTTTTTTTGAAAGGGGCCTGATAATTGATTGTTAAAAAGAATCGAATTAAATTAATTTGCAAGTTGGGTCACTTGTTCTATATCAGAAAGAAAGGAATTGTCATTTCTAATAAGGTTCTAGGTGATACTGATAACAGAAAAAAATCATTTTTCTTTAAACATGCATGTTTATGAACTCTCTAAATATCACTATGATTTTAAGTTCAATTCTATAACACCAAATGACAGTAGGCATGGCTCTTTGGTATCAACTGCAGTTTTGAAATTTGACTTGGATAAATATTTCAGGTTTGAATTCTTACTAAAAGTTGATCAAATTTATCTACAAACATGTCTCTGAAGTTATGATTTTACATGCATAGTGCTTTGAAATTGTACTGCAGTGGCGATAGAGTATATAAACTCTGAAATCAGGATTGGATCAGTTGAATTTGAATCAAGGCCTTCACGCTGGTTAACTGTGTAACTTTGAAGAAGTTGAAGGGCCTCTCTGTGCCTCAGTTTCCTCATCTGCAAAACAGATATTTAAAAAACCTACCTCATAGTTTTGTCATCAGGCTGAGATGAGATAATCATGTAAGCATAACGCCTGACACATAAATATAATAAGTAATCAATAAATGTTAGCTATTATTTATTTTAATAGTTCTTGTCAAAACAATCTGGCTCTGGTATATTTCTTTTCAATGGTTTTGTCCAATTATTTGCATTTTTTTCTCTGCTTGCCTTCATTCCCTCTTTTATTTTTAGGAAGACTAATATGAACAATTCTCTAGTACTACAGAATCTCTGACTGGGTGTGGTGACTCACGCCCGTAATCCCAGCACTTTAGGAGGCCGAGACTGGCAGATCTCTTGAGGTTGGGAGTTTGAGAACAGCCTGGCCAACCTGGTAAAACCCGTCTCTACTGAAAATACAAAGATTATCTGGGTGCAGTAGCACGTGCGCCTGTAATCCCTGCTGCCTGGAAGCTGAGGCAAGAGAATCGCTTGAACCCGGGAGACGCGAGGGAGGCTGCAGTGAGCAGAGGGTTCCACTGGGCTCCAGCCTGGGCCGCAGAGGGAGACTGTCTAAAACA